TGTTGTTCACTCACTGACTTGGTCGACGTCAGACGTTAGTCCTGGCAGCAGGGATGGTGGTGGTAGAGGTGAGGTTGGTGGTGAACTCGTAGCAATTGCCACAGGCTTCCCCCCCCCTCCCCCCCCCACACACACAACGCTCACGTCCATTTAGGTGCGTGTGCCCTGTCCGCCGCGGCCACTGCGGCCGAGGCGTGCGCCCAGGTCGGCATTGTGGCTGCGCCAGTTGTCGTCACGGTACGCACCGTCCGCGTGCGCAGGGGCGTCCTCGGGCCCGTTTTTGTGGTGGTATCTAGAGGTGAGGTTGGTGGTGAACTCGTAGCGGATGCACTTACTAACTACAATTGCAACGAGCCAATTGGGTCTAACTAGACTCTAGAGAGTCGAGGAATATTTAAACCGGCTGGACGTACGCTGACCGCTCACGCATGACGAAAGCCTAACTTAAAAATAAATTAACTATCTGAGCACTACTATAATTCAGACGAGCCGGGGCACAACGTATCCAGGATAGCGTTACTGTTAAAGACGCCCTTGAATCCCTACCAGTAATATATAAATATCGAGCTCATAAATATAAATATCGAGCCCATCAAATTCAAATCATCAGTCCGCGCGACAAAGAAAGACCGCGCGGAAGAGCGCGAAAGCGCCAACTCCGCCCGTTGGCGAGCGCGCTCTCCGCCGTTGACGCGCACGTCTGCAGCGTGACCGCGACCGCGAGCAGGACGAGCAGGCTGCCGAGGATGTAGTCTTTCAGCTCGCCGGGCTCCTTGCCGCATACGCCCGTGTAGTGCCCTCCCGTGCGATTTTGGTGGTTGGGTAGCTCGTTGAATCTTACCAGCGAGTCAGACGGCGAGAGCCAGCATTGCAGGCTCGAGTTGCGCGGGTGCGCATCCACAAAGTCGCTCGCGGCCTGCATGAGATCGTCTATGCCATGCCTCCTGCGCGGATGCGTTGTCTGCACCATCGATGAAAATGCCTCGAGGCTGAGGCCGGCGACGCGGAGTGGAACGTGTACGCAAATATCCGCAACTCCCCCTTTGGCGAAATGCGAGCGGATTCGCACATGCCCGCTTACGATGCAGCGATCGTAAGGCATCCACTCACCCCGGTTGGGCAGGTCGACAGCAAGCTGCGTCTCGAGGGTACTGAGCGCGAGGACCCAGAACACTGCGGGGGGGGGGGGGTTGAAGAAAAAATAAGTAAACAGATAGGTCGGCTGGGTTTGTGTGTGTGTGTGTGCGTGTATGTGTCCGGGGGGGGGAGGGTAAATGAAGGTAGGAAG